ATGTCTGTCAAAAAATTTGTATCATCATAACAAACGGCGCAGTTTTACTACGTTTTCTCTCAAACGTCAAATACGTGATGGCATGAATGGTTGGCTCTTCTTGATATAAAAACCTAAAGTTGAAGTAAATAAGTTCCACGTACACAGGGGCGGATCTAGGATTTTCTCGAGGGGAGGGGCGGACTTTCAAAAAAGTTTTGGTCGACCTTTTGTTTTGGGTTGACCAAATTGATTTTCTGAGCTCTCCCAAATCACTATAAAGACCCCATCTCGACCATATTTTCTACGCCTCAGGCAAACTTTTTAAAAAACAGGCCAAGAAAGGCGTTTTTAGACACTTTTTGGAACTCCCCCTCAAAATAGTATATATTGGCGCCGATGGTCAAATTATTTCAAAGGGGGTCGAATCCCTGAGGAGGGAAGAGTCCGCCTTACCCCCCACCCTAAATGCGCTGGTGCACGTACACACAAAAAAAGCAAAGAAAAAAGAAAGCTTGATTGCTTTGCAAATAACACCAATTCTATTGTAGTGACGAATTTTTAGTATGAAAAACTATACGAAAAAAAAACGATTTTAAAAATCGATTAGTGGGCGATCGAATTAATTAAATGAGGCAATATAATTGGTAAAATTATGTAATTTTACAGGAAACTCAAATTGGAAGTTTCTTGATTATGACTCTGATTGGATCATTTGCAAATGTCGCGTCACATTAGCGTAAAACATCAGAACACTGGAAAACAGAGAACTTCAAAACACTTGTTCTCTGAAAAATACTTTCATTGTTTTTTTTCTGGAATCCGAATCACGATCAATTCGAAAGACAAAAATTTCAATTTGATTACCTTCGTTATTTTTTTTAGCTAGCGAAAATTTTGTGGAAAACCCAGTAGCACTTCTGTTGTGTCATCTCGACAAAAAAAAATGCTGTTTTTATTCTGCAAGTTCGACAATCAAAGATAAATTTCAGATGTTGCTTCAAAAAGTATAGATTTGACTAAGAGTGGTGGTTTTAAACTGGGATTACACGACGTGAATACCCAAAGGCTCCTTCTTTTAACACAATTTTAGATTTTTGATCGTTCAATCCTGTTACATCAAAAAAGCAGAGATTTTACCTTGAAATGATTTAGGATGAGTGGTGTGAGGGTAACCCCCCCACCTGCCTCAGGACTATTGGACAACATGATTACCCAAAGGGTCTTCGTTGTGGTGCTATTTAGCCTCAACTTTTTTGGGCAACCATAAATTCTTCTAAATCTGTATGATCGCTTAAAACACAAAGTTTGAGCGGAGAGCTTGCGCGGCAAAAAAAAACACAATTATTTAAAAAAAAAATCAAATAGTGACCAAAAATGGCATTTTTGGCGAGTCAACTTTCAAAACTTTGCTGAAATTTTTTTCCAAATTGAGACTTTGGAAGCTCTTTGATTTTCCTTAAATATTTGTTTTACGAATTAAGAATTATCTGGGGCAAAATCATATTTTAATAGTATTTTTGCAAAAATGAAATGCTCAAAACATTTTTTTCTTTTATCAATTTTAAGGGAAACTATTTTCTCAAACTTCTGATAATTGATTCAAGCGTTTTTTGTAGTTTAGTTGCCCCAAAACAAAAAAACTTTTGTAAGAAAACCGCAAAAAAAGAAAAAGTTTCTTGAAAAATTAATAAGATCCACTAAGTTAGGGTTTTTTGCCTGAAAGCTGATGGAACCGCAAGAGAGCTTGAATAAATAATTTGATCAGTCTGCGAAAAAGTCAATAATCAATAAAAAAAATTTCGAGACTCCCACTTCGAATTTCCTAGAACCGCCCATGGAGGTTTCATGGGAAACCACGCTGTTGTCAATTTTTTCTCTTCCAGTTTATCTACCATCATTTCTATTCTTAAAAAAGCATGTTTGATATCAGTTTTGAAGCGACTTAATTGGGATCAGCCATCCAATTTGATAAGTTTGTTCAGCGTTTAAAATGTATCTGAAAACAAGCCTCCATAAACTATAAAACGTAAGCTTTTTCAAGAATCACATCCAAAACACAAAAACTCTTTGATTAAAACAATTTATTTTGTTCCTTAATATAAGCAAACTAAATCAAAGCGTGGTATGATATTTCACTACTCAGTATTTTGACTGGGACTGAAAATTTTTTAAAAATTCAGATTTCAGCTGGTGTATACAACAAATGCCTCCTTTTTAAGAATGATATAAGTTTTTGACTTAAGCTCCGCTTTCAAGAATCAATTTTAGAAAAAATTCCCACGGTGAAATGGTCTGCCAGCAAATAAACTTTTAAATAAGTTAATTTATGTAACAAGAGTGCTCGCATCAGGGCAAACTTATGTTAAAAGGTCTATGGAGTAATGCTCGTGTAAAAAAATGATGAATATTTTCAAAAAAAGTGCGAAAACTATCGCGCCTCTATTGTCTCAAATTCGCCAAATTGACAATCTTTAAGCCAACATGATTCTTTTCAAAATGATCACAGATAAAAAAAAAACCTTTTCTAAATTGAGCTATTATATTTTGGACTATTTGTAAATTTTCTGGACAACAATAATTATTGAATGATAAGAAAAATTTTGTCGAAAATTGCTAGCTAAAAAATCGAACATTGTCTGGAGAAAAAACAAGACGCTTGTACCTAGGTCAATCCACATTGACAGAAAAAGCTTTTCATAAAGGTTTATTCTATGACAAAATTCTTTTTGTACTGTTTCAAACAAGTTCATGGACTAAAAAAGTTTTATGAAAATATGCTAAATATGCATTTTTTCCATATTATGAAATTTTATAAACCACATTTTAGAATAGATTTTGTCATATTTTTATCAAAATATTTTATGAAAAGAGCAAAACAATTTTTTGATCTATGAAATTATATGTTAAGCATTTTTCCATAGTATGAAATTGTATGATAAGCTTTTTTTCTATATAAAGTTTTTCATTTTAAATTTTTTGTGTTTCGTCCTAGACACACTAACAAAGATTTTCTGTATTAAAAAAAACCCAGAGTGTTATCGGAACTTACCACGCAGATAAATTGCATTTGGTGATATTGGACAGACAGACAGAATTAAGTTCTGTTTACAAAGAACTATATTTAGAAAACGTAACAAGTTTGTATATAGCTAGAAAACTTTTATTTGAAAACTTCGGTGCGTTGGTGGTTGAGAAAAAAAGCCTAGTTTTTATTTGTTTATCTTAGCATACGAAAGCAAAAAGATAGGTGTTTTTATTTAAAAAAATCCCTTACCTGTCCTTTTTGGATTTTTTTGGGTAAAAATCTCAAGCTGGACAACGTTATTGACACAAAATGTCAAACTTTGCATGCAAAAACTTTGTTTTAAACTTGCGTTTTTAGCACAGAAGTAATTGTGCTATAAAAAAAGGGATTCAACATTTTATTCTCAAAACTATTGTTAATTTTTGTAGAAAAAATGCGTATCATACAATGTTCATAAATGAAATTGTGTGATAAGTGGTTTCCCTGAATTTGTTTTTGGTGCCACAGTTGCTCTCATCTAACCAAAACTGCCACCATTTTTTTTGCTTGAGTTTTAAACCAAGTTAAGATAATTTTCGAAAAATTTCCGATTGAAAATAAGCTAGTCAATATTTTTCTTCAAGGATAATTGAATGATAAGGATTTTTGAAATAGACTCCACATATGATATTGAAGGATAAATATTTTCTTGCATGGACGTCTACCCAGGAAACCCTGAAAAATTCGACTGCTTCTAAGGTCCTTGGAGTAGTGTTTTAAAATCATGAAAAAGTCAAGGAAAATCTTCAGTTATTTGTAATTTATTTTGAAAATCATCCCCCTTATGCTATGCAATCTTTAAAGAGTTATATTTTGCATATGCCAAAAAATTAAATAGCCCACACAATTTCAAAGAGGTTATAAACCTCCGTTCACTCTTAAACAGCGCGAAATATATAGCGCGCTACTTGTCGCGAATTAGTTAAATTGACAATTTTCATATCTCTATTGCTTACGGGTGTTTGTAGCTCAAATATTCCGTCACTTACTCCAAAAATCGTCGGAACAACAAAACGGCTCGTATTAGAGCAAAAAAATTTTCCTGTTACCCTTCAATTGGCTTCATTTTTTGTTATTTTTGGTTTCAGAAAAGTTGATAAAAGGTAATTTGAGAAACTTTGTAATTTTTTTGGCTGCCACCGCAGGCAATATTAAATGCTATATTGTTATTTTTGAATTCTGAAAGAGTTTGAAAATGTGTATTTTACGTCATTTTCATCAATTTGGTTTGACGAAAATCGCATATTAGTTTTTTTCACAATGAATTCAAAGAGTTTTTTCTTCAACTGGAATTGGTGTGAAAAAATCTGAAAAAAAACAACGCTGAGTATGAACACTTTGTGTACCCGTTCAGCTTTTTGATTTTTACTTTTTTTTCAGCTTCTTGATTTTCACCTAGTCTTTCTCGACCAAACATTGGTTTCTATCGACCGTCTTGACCAATGTAAGGTGGGTTGCGACTATTTTGATATAGTTTGATATAGTTTGATATAGTTTGACTTTATCGACCCAAAAAAATAGTTCAACTTTGATCTACCATTTCCATACCCAAATCTGTAAAACCCTATTACTTTACGAAAAATTATCTCAGGTGAAACATCTTTTCAAATTTAGGCTCAGGAAAACAATACTTTTTGAATGATATAAAATAAACTCCGTCATAAATGGCTGTTAAAAAATCAGAACTTGTCTGAAGAAAAAAACAACCCCGAGCAGAAATATTACGTTACTTTTGTTACAAAAGTCGGAACAATTATTATTAATGATATCTAATTTTTGCCATTAGATGATGGCTGTACGTATAATGGAACGATAGCCAGTATTTCAAGTTCTAGAATTTTTAGCTCTGATTTTTGCACCACAATTATGTCCTAACCTAACTAAAACTAAGGTACCTTAGTTTTAGTTAGGTTAGGACATAATTGTAGTGCAAAAATCAGAGCTAAAAATTTTAGAACATATAATTATGGCAAATAACTTCATTCCTTTTTTGGCATTTACAATCCGATACTTTTTTTGTAATTCTAAATTTTACAATGGATTGTGTAATTTTTATCATGCTATTAGTTTAATATGCAAGATAAACAGAAATTATCCGTTTTGCTCGAATGCTTCCATATCTTCGCTTAGAATAGAAAGTTTTTTTGTCGAAATTTGCAAGTGGTAAGATCGAATTACTTCTAGTTGTTTGACTGCTTTATTTTTCCTGAATGGAAACAGCCTTATTGGCGTCTGCTTTTTTCAGATCTTCAGCCTTATTTGCTGTTTTCTCATCTTTGTCGACTATCTGTTTCTGTAGCTCTTCGTTCACAACAGCCACTCCTAGAATCTCCTCGATATCCTTGATCACAGCCTAAATTAAAAAACAATCACTAATGACTTTTCGGCGAGCCTCAAATACAAATAGAACAACAAATTGCAACAACTGGAACGGACAGAAATAACTAAAAAGAGCAATCTGTCAGTTATCGAGGATGTTTGCATGTCAATTTAATTATTAGGTGACCTTGAGGCATATTTTTTGTCTGGAAAATTAGCGTTTTATGCTGAAGTTGGCAGAAAAAAGTCATTTGCTTTTTTTAATTATTTCTGTCTGTTCCAAATTTTTGCAACTCTCTATATATTTACGTTTTTTTTTTGAGTTTTTTTAGTTAATGCCAAATTGTTGACAATATTGCTGACCTTGACCGTCTTAATAGGTCAAAAACATTCCAGGTTAATTAATTTTTCGGAAACCATTTTTACCTGTAGAATTCAGTTATAAGATGAAGTACTACGTCAAACTGAGCAGTTTTAGGTTAACTAATTTTTTTTCAGATTCGTTGACCAAAAACATATTGCCAGCAATTTGGCATTAACAATAGAAGCTGGAAATTTCCGTTATAACGTTTAATTAGTAGCAAAAAGTTCGGAGAGACAAAAACAATTAAAAAGAGCAAATTACCTTTTTCAGACATTTTTTACATGCAAAAGCTAATTTTTCAGACAGAAAGTATGTCTCTATGTCACCTGAAAATTCAAAAATGCATGCAAAAATTGCTCAAAATTGGCAGATTGCGCGTTTTAATTATTTCTGTCTGTCCGAACTTTTTGCAACTCTCTATAAGATGAAACACTACGTCAAAACGAGCAGTTTCAGGCTAACTAATTTCGTTCAGATTCGTTGACCAAAAAGATATTGCCAACAATTTAGCATAAACAATAGAAGCTGGAAGTTTCCGTTATGACGTAATAGTAATATAGCTGACGTGGAAGTTGGTGTGTCCCTGCATGGCGGGAGAGGAGAGTTCGTGGTGGAGCACGTGGAGGTTCCTGGCGAAGGTGGCGAGGGCGGAGGGAAGTTGTTCATGCAGACACAACATGCCCACACTCTGTCTGCTGTAGCTGTCAAGCAGAGTGAACACACAGCCCTAAAGCATGTGTATACTGAACTCATGCATTTGTGCCAGTCCTATTTTCGAATTTTTGTTCTGAAAATCCACTTACGAAAACGCTTTTGATGGTCTTAACTTCAACAAAGTATGCAAGCGTGAACAAGTTGGGAAATTTTCTAACCTAAAACTATCGCAAAATTTTACAATAATTGAAAATACATTACCAAGGATACCAAATTGGCCATTTAATAGAATTTCCTTTTGGTACCCTTCAATGGTACTTTTTAGGTCGACCAAGGTGAAAACTTTTTCTCTTGGCCTTATATTTATCGCTTTTGAGACACAAAGCTATCAAAAATAGAAACTGTTTTTGGTTCAAACTCTCCCAATTGATAATTACCCAATTTTGAAGTTAATAGTGTGTAGAAGAATGAATTAGCTCAAAGAGATATTGCTGCAATTCAAGAGAATTTAACAATATTTATACTGAATTGTTTCCTCCTGTTTTCGAAAAATGAAACATCACTCTGCTTTCAGTTTGTTCGCTTCATTGTTTTGGATCCTTTTGGGGGTGTACCTTTTCTTTTTGTTTCGCTCTCACCAACCAACAGCAGACTGCCCGAGTTGATCAACGATGGTTATCCTGCAAGATTTTGCAAGATACTGCAAGATAGCGATTACCTTGCAAGAATCTTGAAAAAGAGTTGTTGTCTTGTAAGAATCTTGCAAGTTCTTGCAATATAACTAAATTAAAAAATTTTAATAGCCGCCAGAAAAAAAGCTATTGCGATTTTTTTTGACTTAAGTCTAAAAAAGTTGTCATTTGAACTTGCAAACAATGTTCGGTTTGAACAAATTCAATAAACTTCAACTTGAATGCAAAAATTTAATTTTTCTGAAGTAAAAAGTTTCAGTCTGTGGCTATAATTTATGCAGTTCAAATTGAAACTTTTAAAAACTTTTTTTTTGATTTTTCTTGCAATGTTACTCCAAATTTTTCTGTTTTCGCACTTCTATAGATGTTAAGAATTATGTTTTGGTTACTTACGTAATATTTTTGAGCAAAAGAATCACTTAGCTTGAGATGTCTTGTATGTTGTTGATGCAATGAAATTTACAAATAAAGTTTGTCTTAAAATCGTTCTAAATTGGTTGAAGGAAGCTTATTTGCCATATTTGATTTGTTATTATCAAATCAATTATGGCATTTCATCGAATTTTATCACTTTGTACTTTATATGGTGTGTAGGGGGATGATTTTCACATAAAATATGAAATTAACATATAATTCATCTTTTTTTATTACATTTAATTTTTTCATGTTATAACTGCTCTATAGACCTTAAAAGGTGGTCTTTACATTCAGAGTTTCGCCCTGATACGAGCAGTCTTGTTGTTCCGACTTTCTTAACGAAAGTAACGGAATATTTGTGCTCGGGGTGGTTTTTTTTTTCTTCAGACAACTTTCGACTTTTTAACTAGCCATTTTCGACGGATTTTTTTTATCCATCGAAAGCTAATGTTGTCCTGAACCTAAGTTTGGAAATATATTTCACCTGTGATTTTTTTTTCGTAAAGTTATAGGAGTTTGAACATTGTCAATTTGGCCAATTTAGGACTATTAACGCACGATATATTTCGCGCTATTAACGCGTGACAGAGATTTAATCTGTCTTAGAAATCGTTCCAAATTGGTTTAATGAAGCTTTTTAGCCATAATTGATTTGGTACAAGGAGCAAAATTTATTCTTTTGTAGTTCATATGGCGTGTAGCGGGATCTTTTTTACCGAAAAAAATTTCAAAATTTAGAAAAATTTGCTCGTTTTTTTGACGTTTAATTTGTTAATGATATCCAAGTTATTACTGCTCCATAAACCTTAGAAGGCAGTCGACACATTCAAGGCTTCGCCCTGATACGAGCAGTTTGTTGTTCCGACTTTCGACACGAAAGTAACGGAATATTTGTGGTCGGTGTGGGTTTTTTTTCTTCAGACAAAGTTGGACTTTTTAACTAGCATTTTTGACGGAGTTTCTTCAAATCAATCAAAAACTATTGTTGTCCTGAGCTTAAATTTGAAAAATGTTTCATCTGAGATCATTTTTCGTAAAGTTATGGGGGTTTAAGATTGCCATTTTTGCCAATTTGGGACAATTAACTCGAGATACATTTCGCGCTATTAACGCGCGACGGAGATTTAATCCTCTTAGAAACCGTTCCAAGTTGGTTGAAAGAAGCTTATTTGCCATAATTCATTTGTTACAAGGAGCGAAATTTATTCTTTTGGGGTTTATATGGCGTGGGGGGATGATTTTAATAGAAAAAACTTTTAGAAAAAAAAATTCATTTTCTTATTACATTTTTTTTAAAAAAAGTTATTACTGCTCCATAAACCTTAAATGGGAGTCGGAACATTCAGAGCTTTGCCCTGATACGAGCAGTGTTGTTATTTCTCTGTTCTTTTGGTGATTTATTCAAGCATTTGAACGTTACAGGTACTGCTTCCTTCTTCCTCAAACGCTATAAAATGTCTTCGCCCGTAAAGCTTTCCCCCATAAAATATCATATCTTCAAAGTTTTTGCTAAAATAACAGTTATGAAAAGCGATTGTCTTGTAAGATCTTAAAATGAGATGCATCTTCTTTTAAAGATTTTTGCGCAGTTCTTGCAAGATCTTGTAAGCTAACCTTCTTTGATGGACTAGGATGAACAACAGTTACGGGGAAATCTGGTACAATTCAGTGCAGTTTTTCTATAGAAAAAATGTTAATCATACAACTCGCATACTATGAAAACTGTATGACAAGCGTTTTTTCGGACAACAAGAAAAAAATTCAAAAAAATTAAAATTAAAAAAAAAACCCTAAAAATGTTACCAATTTTTTCTATCGCAAAATCAGTTCTGTACTCAAGAATTAATCACTAATAACAGCAGCAGCCAGTTCTCACCTGTCGTTCTTTGAGGTCGTAGCCTATGCCCTGTGCCCTGCACATCTGGAAGAAGACGGAGTAGTGAATGACACTCATGTTCGAGTGGAAGAGGCGGGTGCTCAACACTGCATATCTATTCGGACTGAACTCCTGCAACAAGTCACGAGTCAGAGAAGAGAACCGAAGATGAATTAAAAGCTACATTGAAATTGCATAATCTGAGTAAAAGCTCTAAGATTTCCTTTTGGATCTACTTTTCCGTCAGCTTTATAGGCATCACAAAAATTTATATCTTTCTTTTTTTGGTTAAAACCATCGCAGCAGAATTAAGCTTTGTGAACATTTTTTTCTTCGCGAGTAAATTTAATTTTGTTTGCTGACATTTCTGACAAAACTGAAAAAAAAAGAAATTTCTGATAAACAATTGCAACATTTTAGCGCGAAATGAACTTTTTTGTTTAATGAATATATTTCTAGGTAAAAAATAGTAACAGAATTAGTGACTCGCCTTCTCTTCTCGCCTTCGTCTGCGATGCTTGCTGGCAACTCTGTTGGGCGGTGCACTCACTGTCAACAGAGAGTTGTCGGGATCAAACACTGCATTGGACACATACTTGGTCAGATTAGTCAACGACAGCTGGTCACTGAAGCCAAGGTTCAGGTCAATCGCCCACAACTGCTGCATGTCATTTACAGGGTCAATGAAGGTGACGAAGTCGATGGTGACGTAACCGATGATTGCGTAATTCTTACATGTCTCGGCTATCTTCATTGTGGCCTCGTTCAGTTGTTTCGATTCGATTGAACACTGGGGAACTGTAGTGCCCCAACATGAAAATTGAGTCTCGGCGTGAATTTGATCTCCTACAAATCAGACACTTGTTTTCTGTGTATGATACAGCCAATGGTGCTGCTTATACAATAAAACCTGATTTTTACAATGATGAGCTGAATTTTTACAATGAAACCTGAATTTTACCTCAAAAATGAGACGTAACGCCCAATTATCTTTGGAATTATTTTTACTTCATTTTGGAGCGAGTTTGATTTTTATAGCTAGGCAAAATAAAAAAACATCGAGAGACTATTTATGAATTATCCGACCACATTTTATAAATGAGTAAAATATGAAGTCCACTAAAACAGTTGCTCCGAGAAAAATCACGGATTTTCAATCCATGTATGCCTGCTGAAAAACAAACGAGAATGATTTTTTTTTGTTGAATTGAAAATAAAAAATGTATATTTGTTGACAAATTGAAGATGAAATAAAATCACTACCTTGTGACACAATTTGAATGGTTCCAGTCGGTTCAATTAAAACGTCAACTCTGATAGCAGTTGTGTTTTCAGACGAAGGGTACGCTTCAATAACGCCCCCCTTTTCCAGAAAAGCGTCCAGGAATTTTTCCCAGGTGGGGTACGCGTCAGTGTTGGCTGGCTTGGTGTGGGTTGCTAGAATTTCTGGAATTTCTTCTAGAATCTTCTGGAAAGCGGGCTCCTGAAAAAATACGTATGTTTATAAGATCAACTTACATATATGTAGTAGTAAAAAAGTTATATGCTAATTTGTTGCTAGCATTTTAATCTATAACTTCGAGAGTGGGAGTTCTTTTTGAGGGCTGAGCTCTCGCCAAAATAAACATAGTCAACATGCAGTTGCAAAAGAGACAATGAATGCAACTAAGCAGAAAAGAACACGGACTGACTTGTTTTTTTTTGAAAAACTCGCAACTTTCAGATTACAATTAAGGACGCTGCATCCGATATATCTTATTTTGACGTCTTCACCGCCGGTGTAAACTGTACGCCACCCATTTTGGGCCGATCAATCCAAAGTTTAAATGCGCCTTTGTCGCCAAGTTAAACTAATTCTGGACCAGGAGAGGGACGAAAGGGAATGTTCGAAGCGGTGCTCTCATTTTTGAAACAGTTCTCAAAACGATGAAAAAGGTTTTCAAGCACCAGATCGACAAAAACTCAGCAACCCCCTCCTCAAATTACTACAAAAAGATCGACAAAACTACAAAATCCCCCTCCTTTTTTTAAATCCTAGATCGAAAATCCTGAATCCACCCCTGCCGAAGTATAATAGACAAATAACTCATGAATGAATTGCTCTAAATTTGACTATTATACAGTTTCTGAACTAACATGTGCCCATTTCTTGTTCCATTTGTCCCCATATCGCATCTGCTGTTTCTTAGCCCACTGGAAGCACTTCAAGTGTTCGTTCACAGGACACACAGCGATGCCCCGTCCGTTGAACTCGTCGTCTATCTTGAGTAGCCAGAGTTTGTTGTCCAGGTGTTCTGTCACTAGTTGTGCCAGCGACTCCGTCAGTTGGTCCAGTGAATGGATGTCAAACTCACAGGGAGGTTGGTCTACCTGAACAAACATTTTTTAAAAACCAACCAGAAGTGATTTTAGATGAAGGTTCGCGTTGATCAGTTTTACTTAGTGACAGTTTGCTCAAAAAAAAAATTCGTTTTATTTAGTTTTATTTAGTTCATTGGCGCGCCGTCGAGATGGGAGGGTGCGAGATTGGGCGGCGGGGGGGGGGGTAATTTCAAATGGCCTAACTTCTCCGAAGGGCCCTCTTATTATTACTATATTACGACAGCCGTTTTTGACCAACCAAGCCTCGCCACAATAACAACCAACACCCAATTTTTGTTCGAAATTTTCAAAATTTTTTAAATAAATGCTTTGAAACGGCATGTTTTTCAAAAAAATTGTTGCAAGTTTTACAAGTTTTGCCAAAATGTTCTTTCTGGCGTTTCGGCAGGGTTCGAAAAATCAAATGGCTGACCTAAAAAGTTTTGATCTATTTCTTCTAGTTTTTATTTTGAATGCCATAAATTTTTTCTCGACGCAGATTTTTTTGCAATTTTGTTTTAGTGAGTAGATTGGAAATACAGCCCTCTGAGTAAATTTTTTAAATGATTCTTCGTTTTCTTTAATAGTTTCGGTGGTTTAACCAAATTAATTTTACCTTTGCAGCAACAAATATTCGTTTCAGGCCAGACTTTGTAGCGTAACTGTTAGCCACGTCGGGTTCAGGGCCAAGTACTGGTACATCTAAAATGAACAGACTCTTGCTTGCAACATTGTACGAAATTTTATGTCGACTGTGATTTTGCTAATTTTTTGGTTTCCAGTTCCAAAGATAGTCTTCGTGGATGATTTCGTCGTAATAAATGGAATGAGAACTACGATAATTTCTTGTGGTTACAGAAGATCCATCAATAGAGGATGGTTATCTTGCAAAATAATCCTAGGTAATTATATAGGTAAATTTTACAATATAACCAATCTATATTGAAATATAACAGATCTACATTCTATAACATCCTCTTTCGCCGCTAGAAGTAATTATTGCTCTCATTCTAATCATCATCATCATTACAATGAGAACTTTTATCCCTTCTGGAACTCTTATCGCTTCTTTTTATTAGTGAGAACCCCCACCTAATAAGTCGGACAGGTGCAGTTCGTCCCTGTGGATTACTCCTGGCACTATGTAGGCGGAGTTTCCGGCCACCAGGTTCTGGATTCTCTTCACAGTTAGTGGACTGTACTTGATCAGGGAGGTCAGACACATGCTGTGGTTCTAAAACAACATTCAAGTCAGACTTTTCCAAAATTCTCCATCAAAGTTGAAGATAAGTTGATAGTTTTTGAAAACCAACTTATAAAGTATTTGGTTTTTTAAATCAAAATATGCTGAGGGAAGACCTGAGACATACATAAACGTGCGTTTCAGGTGGGATCCGTCTTAAAAGAAGGACCGAATACCCGATTTTTTTTTCAGCCAATTAGGCCTAATTCAAAATTTGGACAGAAGTAAGCGAGATAATCAATCAGTTTTCAACGGTTTAAAAAGCGCTGGTTGGACGAGATATTTAGCCTATTCGATACGTCTGTCATGCAAATAGCCCCATTAATTTAATTCAACACTTCTCTCAAATTTTGTTCCCGCAGGGCGCAGATTCCATTGGTATTCATAAAACCGATTAGCTCACTTAATTCAATTTTTTGTTCGAAAAAGAGGGCGTTATTTGTACTTACTCCACCCAAAATAGTTTATAACCCATTAAAAACTAACTTCACGAGTTGTTCTAATTATATTTTAAAGCGGATTTAACCAATCAGATTTGAGCTTTGTCATTTCTGGTTTTAGTGTTTGCTGTTTGGGCGGAATTAGCAAGAAGAGCCAAAAAGTATTAAGTAGCCCTCTTACGGGAAAACTCTCCAATGCGTCTGGAACGATAATGGTGAATCTTTCGTCCATCTGGGTCTGATGTTCCACATCTCCAGAAAGGACAGCTGGCTTCAAACCCAACAGTTTTGAGAAGTATTGCTGGAACTCCTCACTAACAGGCACAGGTGATATGTAGATTATTTTCACATTCGGGTCGGCTAAGTCACACAATCGGCCCATTTGACGACTCTGCTCTAGTGCCATATCTTCGAGGGTGTAGCGCACACGCGCACTGTGGCCTGAAAACGTTCAATTAGCCGATGAAAAAATGTGGATTTAATCGTTCACTTATTAAGTTCGAGAGTATAATTTGTAACAATCGCCTCACAAAAACAGTGATGTTAGCTGTGAAATTTTTTCTATATAATTCTCGCTTCACACAAAGGCGCAGAAACAAAGAAAAAATACGAGCCTTTGCATCTAAGAAGTAAAATTTTCGGCTTGTTCAATATTTTCTTTCGGAAACTCACCAAGTGACGGTATGTGAATGATAATTCTTTGATTCGCCTTCATTTCATCCCAAGTTGACGATAGTAACTGAAACAAGACTGATTGTATCAGGGCAAAAATTCATTTTCTTAACTGTCATTTTAGGAATCTTAATTAGTTGTTGACATAGATTATTTGATTAAAAAAACGCATAAAACATTAAAACATTTTTTGCCTTTAATCAAACTCGAATTCCCGATATGCAGTGCAAATCGATACCGTTCATAATCATAATGAAATTTGACAAAATATTATATAACTTTACGTTTCATCGCCGCGGGAACCGTTAGGGTTGCAAAACTCAAAAGCAAATACCTTAAGCTCAATAGTTTGTGGTAAAAAAATCTTTTTGGCTGGCTCTAGCTCTCTGTAGCTCTGATTAAAATTTTTCTTGAGAAACACTTTTTTCTCCAAAGTCACTCGAGAAGAATTAATTACCGCAAAAAAATGAGTTTAAGGGAATCAACTGTGAGTTTTAAAAATCTGAGGGATCTCGCGAAGATATAAAAATTTTATGTCAAATTTGTGGGGTCGTGAAATGTGATTTTCATTTGTGTGGAATTTTTTGTTATCAAACTTAAAACAGACCATTCAATCATGAGGACAAGGATCAAGATACGAGCTGGCGAACCGCTGTTGTGCATCTGCTTAAAAACTAAATGCATTTTTTGCTTTATTTTCCTGGGCTGGGTAATGTTGCCTCACTCTCAAGCAACGAGCACGGATCATGCTTGGCCCAAAACATCCGACATTTCGATTGAGAAGCGGAGACGCAACCACTTCATCACCGCTCCCTTAGTTCTAGGCGATGTTTTGTTATGAATTTTTGTTTTTAAGCTAGGCGAAAACAAAAAAGTTGAAGTTTTTTTAAAGCTATTTAAAAACAAAGTGATAAGTTTGGCATAAAATAATAAAATAATAAGAAAAAATTGCATGCTTTAATTCAATTTGACAACTTAATTGAAATATTCACAAAATTTTCCAGTTTTAGCCTGATAAGATCAAAATTTAAGTGTTAAAAGTTTGAGTAGTATATGGAATTGATAACGAATTGAAGTAAAACGGGAACATAATCAATTATAAAACAATTATAATTGTACTTTTATCAAAATTATAATTAATTATAAGCGCCAAATTTAGACTGTTATTTGGCGTGTTATAGAGTGTTATAATGAAAAAATTTAATGTGAAATTTTAAGAAAAAATAATCAACTATAATTGATTATAACTTTTCCGAAATTATTAAATTTAGAGTGTTATAATGAAAAAATTTAGTGTGAAATTATAAGAAAAATTAATCAACTATAGTTGATTATAATTTTTCCGAAAATCTCCTATAATCTCATATAATCTCTTATACTCTCATAATCTTTTATAATCAATGATAATCAATTATGATAGATTAGAATCCTTTTTTCTGTCAAAAATCTCTTAAATTGAGATGTATTATCACTCTTTGGTTCATCTGAACACAAAGTTTTACCACAAAAAAAAGTTTCATAGAGATCCCTTCATATTAGATGAAAGAATCCCACGGTGGGAGAAATACAATTATTCTATATAAATCAAGAAACTAAAGCAGTGTGCTGATACTTTGGTGGTCAAAAAATCTTAAAATGTGTATCATGAAACAGCTATAATCAAGGAGAAAAGAAAAAGAAAGCGTTATAAATTTGAATTGATTCGAAAACCATTAAAACATTTTTCGAACGTCTACAAAAAGCATAAAATCTAAGCATTTCAGGTGGAAAGTCGGAGACAAAATGGGAAAATAAAAATGTTTATAAACAATTATAATCGATTATAACGATTATAATTGATTTTTTTTGCAACACAAATAAAATAGTAACTTGGATAAAGTTAATCGGTTGTAATTGGTTATATGGTAACATAATTTTATAATCTGATTATAATTGATTTCAAAAAGAGAGATTATAATCGATTATCAATTGGTTGAAATCTTTTTTTTTCTCATTTTTTGTAAGACTGGTTGAAACTAGTTGCGGGTAAGGCCAATTATATTGCCTCAATTCATTTCTGATCAATTTAGTAGTGCTGGGTAAGTCGCCACACATAAATAATTTTGTTACACTTTCAGCATCAAAATATGAAGTTACCAGAGTAAGCAGCCTCGTGTCTGGTTAATATAGTGGTGTGCGCACCCGGCCGGTGCCATGAATATCACCGGTTCTATCCCCTGGAAACATTCTTTTAAAATTGGTGTCAACAGAAAAACACACCGAACACATATATTCCTCTTTCTTTGATAGAACTATTCATTTTTGGCGCAAAAAAAAATTAAATATTGAACACATTTTCCAACTACCTTTTTTAAAAGTCTTTGAAACGCCTTCATTTGATGTAATAACCCATAATAACATATAGTTCGATGTAATAACCCATTAAAACCCATAATAGACAATCCCCAACTCCCTCCCCCCCACCCCCCCCCCCCCCCCCCCAAATCCCTTCCCCCTCCCCAAACCACTGCTGACTGAATGAATACCTTCATTCTGAGTCTGTAGGAGTCGATGAGACTTCTGTTGGTGTTGACTAATTGTTTCCTGATCTTGCTCAGCTTCGCATTCATTATCCACGAGATCGCAATCATTCCAGCCGCCCATTTCTGCTTCCTATGGTGTGAACATAAGGAAAAAAATAAGGATTAAAAAACTAACATGAAATTTTGAAATTTAATGCGCAAACATTGTTTTTGCAGACAAATCATTGCAGCATAAAAAATTGCGACAGAAGTAAAATGTTTTCCCGGTGCATTATTTTATCATTATCTTGAAGATGAAGTTCAAAGTCTTCATTTAGTGTTCATGAAATGCTATGAACTTTTGACAAAAAAAATTGAAACTGTATCCATGGATTATCCTTCATTAAATTCTTCATTAGAAACTTTAAAGCCCCCCCTCCCAACCTCTCATGAGCATCAATTTCATCGTGTAACTTGTGGTTTAACAAGATTAAGTATGACACAAAAATATGTTTGTCATGGCGCCCATGTAAACAATCTCCTCCCTCTATAGACCAACTGAAAATTCAACCAGTATGGTCTACATGTGATATGCGCAAATCTGATTGGTGCGAAAAAAATGCTTTTAACCTAGTAAACAATCTCCTCTCTAAAATTGATTTAGCCAGGGTGGAAATTGTTCACTTGGCCTTTGTCGTGGCTTCATTTGTCCATGTGTCAATTTTCATAACAATTGGACAATGCGAACAAACATTTTACTTGTAAAAATTAGCAGGATGTGTGGGGGGGGGGGGGGGATAATAATAGTTAAGTTATTTATTTATAGTAGATGTAGTTCGAACCTGTAGTGGAGATAGGCACTTCTCTTGACGTGCATTCGCCACATGCTTTGGATGAGAGTGGCCGCCTGGTGTTTGCCCTGGCTGGTTTTGAACCTCTGACCCTGTAATTATGAAAATACAAGCCCATCAGTAAACTGTATCAAAATAAAAATTAATTAAAATTGCCGGTTCTGCGATTCGCAGAGGATCTATAAAAGCCTTTGCGGTCTGTCAAAGCATAGTCCGTTTCCCTTATTTCCCCACATTCCAGACTGAGTTATTATTTTTTTGAGCGATGCCCTTTTTGTGCGGCTCAAGGCCGTTTTTCTTGCGTTTAGAACTTTCACGTGGTGCCGCTTTTGCAGCCGAATTCGGCCAGGCTGGTGGTAGACCTGAAGCTGGAGGTCAAGTGAGAGCTCGTCCTCACACTATATCATTATCATGGTAGGGGATCGATTTATCGCTCTAAAGATTGCGATGTGAACGCCTTACCCTTATGCTAAGTGCCTATGTTATGTTCTAAGAAAGTTATAAGGTTTTGAAATTGTAAATAGCTGGTTGAAATTTATCATTTTAGAAAGATAGAAACAAAATTGTTGATTTATCAAACTAAGAACTCTGAAGCTTTTTTTTTTATTTTCAAGCATTTTTTTTAGTTTCATGCATTTAAAAAAAACTAAAACATTTTTTATTTCTTCATCACTTTTCTGATATATAAAGCTTTTTTTTCTGTTGCTCCCGCCTACATTAATTTTGTGATCGAAATTCGATGAAAGTTTTGCAACAGAACCATGAATCAGGTTGTGGAAGACCTGAAGCTAGAGCCAAGTTCTTTAAAAAACTGAAAGAGCTTGATAACAGAGTATAATGGAAGATCGGTCTAAATGAAACTTCCGTCGATAAACAGGTAACTTACACTTCGTGCTGTTTTCCGAGAACTACGTGTATTTTCGGTTTCAGCTGAGGCAATAATTTTAGGTCTGAAATGGTTCACAAGCTGATGGACTTCTGGGTCTGTAAAAGAGCTCAATTTTTGGGCGCGTTTCCATTCTAACTTCGCTTTGGATTTTGGTAAAAATAATCGGTTTGGAGTCGGTATACAAGTTTGAACTTCTGGAGGAAACTTGAATTTAACTTTTTGAGGCCTCGAAGTCACAATAAGAATCGGATTATTCAAACTTTCACGGCTAGAAAATTCAGCGGGATAAAAATCAGGCAAAGTGTTTCGTCTTCTTGATAATTTTGACTTAATTTCAGTTGAAGTCTTTTCTGCTTCATTCCAAAAACTTTTAACGCTTTTTCCAGAATCAAGCTGGACTGATTTTGGTCTCGACGAAAGTTGCAACACAACTCCGTGCTTCGGAGTTCTAAAAGACCGGTCAGAATAGTCAAGGGCGGATGTCAAGACCCGATCAAAAAGTTTATTGTCTGTATTCAGTGGATAAAACAAGTAACTATTTTTTGTTTGCATTTGGCAGTTTTTTTTAATAACACGCCTGCTTCAAATTTCTCAATTTTTAATGAAAAGCCAATAAAGATGCTCGGGTAAATCGTTTTATCTTTTTTATATGCTCTAAATGGTGTTTTAAGATTCGCCAGACGAGTTTTTTGCACTATAAAAACGTCCAAAAACCGTTTTATTTTCTGCAACCACATTTTATCAATACGCACGTTTTAGTTTATTTACCTGTAAAACTGAGGAAAAAAGTACAAAAGGCGGGATAAGTCCTAAAAGCACACTACGTGTATTACAAATCAAAATGGTTTCTATTGGTGGTTTCAGCGCTGTGATCTCAAATTTTTACAAAGATAGCCGGCTACTGCAAGTAACACAGTATGTTCCGACCATTTTTTTTTCAAATTAGTCTCGTTTTTTTTCTGCGCGGTGTGATAAAAAAGATCTGAACGAAAAAAATAGATTTTAGTCATATATGAGAGTCATAGTAAAAATGTGAAAAATTAGAAACATTTTTTTGTAGAAAATTGACTAGAAAAAAAAACGAAAAAAAACAAAACAAAAATAACTAACTGTGTTGAAAATTTTGAATTTTTGATTCCCAAAATAGCGTTAAACAGCTCCGAAAACTAATGTTTTAAAGTCAATAGAATCACGACTGCAAAGGTTTTTCATATAATAAAACAATCGACAATTCAAAGGATTATTTGAGGTACTTGTTTTTGCGTGAAAAACAAAAACTTAAAAAAAAAAAGATATAAGACACACTCGAATACAAAATTCCTCCCCATCTTCAAGGGTCGGCACAATTTTTTCTCAATAACCTAACTATATTAGGTTTGGATTAAATTAGAAAAAAATAGCGTTGTGATTCTATCTCAGCAAAAAAACTATCAATAAATTATTTTTTGTTTTCAAAATTCTGACATTTTCATTTTTGTTCAAAAAAATCAAAATGAAGAGTTTTTGTCTTAAACCACACGATACGTTATATCAAAAATGAAATTTATTAAAGGAAGAAATTTTTTTGCTTTTTTTTTGTTATGGAGTTTTTTCACTTCTTTCTCATATAAATGTTTTTTTTTTTCAGTTTCTTTTTTTTTGTTGCCATTTAATTACCTTCCCCGATGACGACTGTTCCCCAAATATTTGACCCCTTCACCCGCCTGAGCACTCCTGAATAACTCGACCGGAAAAAAGAATATTTTGGTGAAAACTGTCAAAAAACTTTTCATTTTTCAACGTCGAGAAATTTTCAGTAATTCAAACCCCCTCCCACCGAGAAGATCATGGAATCCCTATTGCCCCTTTCGCACACACACTCAAAAGGGTATGCGAAAGGGTGTCAAAGGGTGGCGTGTTAAATGGGGTGCAGGCAAATGCAATGACAGAATCCGATTCCGCGAAAAAAGTTGATAACGTCGGGTGAATATTTCTCATGTTTCATAGTTTTGCAGAAATCATGCATGATTTAAAATATATTGAAAAAAAATCAATTTTCAAGGATTTATTGGAAAAGAGTCATTTTCTAATGAATAATGGATCAAAATGGATTGTTATTTACGAAATGATAATAATCCATTGAAAAAAAGTCTTTTAGAATTGGCTCTGGTAATCGATAATTTTGTTCAACATTTGTCATGAAATCTTAGAACATTTGTTAATTTTCAAAATTCAGTGAAAAAAAATTAACACCTTGAAGATCGTCAAATTTCAAGAATAGTTTTTTTTTGGCTTTTTTTATACAAGCAACCCAATATAAGAAAACTGAATTGATAAAATTCTTAATTCAGCTGTGAATTTTTAAAATTAAAATCCACATCAAACGAAACAAGAAGATTGTATGTTCTCACTCGCTATTTGCACTTTTCTATCAGTGAGCGTGATTTTCGAAAATTTTTTCGACCTTTTTCTAGGTCAACCAAATTGATTTTCCGAGCATAAAGCGCTAGAAAAAACTGTTTTAGCCAAATTTTTGAAAAAAATTAGTCCAAAATAGGTATTTGCAGACACTTTTGGAAAATTTTGTCCAATTAATTGCGTATTTTTTTGGCGCGCTTTCCCCTCAAATTGAGTCAATATTGTCACCAAAGGCACCCAAGAAATTTTTTAGTGTCCGTCAGCCAAAAATGGATATCTCAAAACAGTACAAAGGGGGACACGTTTGGATCGGCAGAGGATAGAATTCCTGAAGAGGGGCGTCCGCCACCCATGACCGACACGACCAAACACGCCTGTTTTTTTGACCGACGCGATTTCGACCGGGGGATAAAACCCGATGTTTCGGCGAAGTTCGACCAATTCCGATATGTTTCGTCTGGCGCTAGAAACAATTGTTTCGACAAAATTCGATCGAACCTTATAAGTCTCGACCATAATCAACCACGCAAGACTATATATAATTTTTTGTCACTAGTTCCTTGATAAAAATCCAGTTTTTTGTCAGAGTTCGATAATATGGGTTTATAATAAACTTTTGAGCTGTATGTAGCTGTTGGAAAACAAAAAGCATTCAAAAGCTTTTCGAAGGACTGAAATGGATGTTTGCTAATCCAAGCAATGCAGAATTTGCACATGTCTATAGATATAACGTTCAAAGTTGGGGGCTTTTTGGGTATGAATTTTTCCTTTTCCTATAATTTTGAATTATCTGGAGCAAAAGTACGCAAAACAATGTCTGCGAGTGAGAAAAATTATAAAACAGTGTACAAGGGATTATTTAGCTCCCTGATTTTAATTAACTCACTGTGGTACAACTTTTTTGCAATTGAAAAGCACGATTTTTGTAATCTTAGCGCATGCATTATATAAATTGTTCACATTGAACTGAACTCCACTGTTACTGTGGCTTTTTTCTTAGCTTCAGAACAGGTCATTTTAGCTATCAAGCCAAAAATTTGTTTTTTTTTTGCCGTCTAGTGCGAGTAATTTCTGTATCATTTCTCCCGTTAATTTTATGGGAGAAATGATATAGAACGTTTGACAACGTGCGAGTAATTTCTGTATCATTTCTTCTGTTAAATTTATGGTAATATGTTCACTTAAGTACAAAATGAAAGCTATCTGCCTGCTGCCCGCAGAACCCTATCCTTCAATATCTCCCCTCCCCCTCCTTTTTTTTGATTACCCTTAAATACCTCTATAATTAATACCTCTATGATTACTCTGGAAGCTTCTGTACTTACAGGCGTGTTCATCTCATTCATGACCGTGTCCAGATTGACTACAACAGACAACAACTCGTCCCTGGAGGGAGAAGTCTCCAGTTCATACTTCATGGCCAGATCGGCCAGCTTGTCCCCATTCACAAGGGCCACTGTGATCTTGAACTTAGATAGGAGAGCTTCCAAATCACCCAGAGTCCGGATGATACTAAACAGTAAGATTAAAGACTCATAGTGATTGAGTTTTAGTTTCATGGTTAAAATTGTATTTAATAATTTTTCGTCTTCCATATGTTCAATTATTTTGAAATTTAGAGCGTTTGATGGATCAAACGATTCGCTTTATTTGATTTGTCCCACAGCAAAAAAAGCCATTCAAAATTTATAATAATAATTTTTAATGAAATTTTGAGCTCTTTTTAAGCCCTACAAATCAAATATATCAAAATATGTGTTGTTTTATTTGTTTATAGTTAATTGTTAATAGTTTTGCGTGTTTGAACAGGTAAATGGATAATGTTATGATAAAAACTATGAAAAAAAAATTGTACACAGTTGTTAAGTTGTTAAACTGTTACCCATGCCAGTTTTTAATGCAGTATAATAACATGCCAATTTTTTTTTTCAAAGTCAAAGTTCAAAAGTATAGGAAAAGGGCCAAACTTTGCGTAAAATAAACTCATAATAATTTTTTTACATTAGCATCATTTTTATCCTGCAAAAATGTTTTTTTTTTGCTTTGCTACTGATGTTTCTGCGAAATCCAAATTGTTTAGGGCGTTGAAACTAGAAAACATATAAATGAAATTAGCTTTTTTCTTCGAAACCACATAAACTAACTAAAAAGAACTGGGGCAATTATGATAGATTTTTTCAGCCTTTTTATTCCAACAGAAACCTTTTCATTCGATTAAAGTGATTTAAATTTTTGCTACTTTCGTTTGTTCATAATTGTTTTAAACTTAAATTAACTAATGCAATGTTTCATTCAGTTTCACATTTTATTAAACTCAATCTCGTTTCATGGTAACTTGCAGTTTTTTTGTCATTCTTTGACTCTAATTTTTTATCTAAAATGAATTAGGGGTTGGGTTGATGGGGAGGCGAGGGGTAAAGAGGTTATTGGAGGGAGGGATTTTGGGCTGGTAAAATGTAGGGAAAAGGTGAATATGATATGAACAAGTTCGTTCGGGTTTGACTTTGACAAAAAGCTGCAACAAAACAGCAAACAATTCACATCTACAAAAAATGAAAGAATTTGATGGTTTTTTGAACTAAAAATAATCGGTTTTATCGAAAACAAAAATGTTTTATAATCGATTATAATGGATTATAATAAAATTTAATTTGCCAATGCAATCCTTTATGATGGAATAAAAAGCCATTACAAGGTTTAGAGGTCTAAATTAGCCAAGATTATCAGTTTTTTAGAAAATATGTTAATCAACAAAAATGCATTATAGTCGTTTTTTGCCCATTAAAATTCTCAGCGGGAAGCTTGAAAGGTGGAAGTGTGATATCATGATAACACCTTAATGGTGGTAAAAAAACTTTAAAAAAAATACACAGAGAGAGATTGTCGAGACTGCGCTACCAATCTGCACCTTATAGATTGTTTTAGAAACTGCTAGGCAATTTTTTTTTAGTTTTGTTGCCTAATTCAATTGCTCTTTTTTTCTAAATTTCTCTATGATGGCGATGTGATTTTTTGTTATTCAGGACCAAAACCGCCTTTGTGCGCTAATCTCTACAAAACAAAGTTAAAATCAATATTTTATTCGTATTTCTCGGTAAATACTCGTGTTTGGTCATAAATCGGAATATATCCACAATTTTTGTATAAACTGACATAATCAGTCATAAACGACTATAACTCAAACTTTTTACTTACATCATCGTATATCGGACGCAACGCCAGCTTGACCTTTTCCGAAACTGTTTGACTTTTGAAGCAATTAAAACCAGCTTGACTTTTGCAGAAACTGCAAAAGTGCAAAAAAAAACTGCTCTTTTGTAGGTCGTAGTTTTAAATTTGAACGATTTATGTTTCACGCATTAGTTACGTTTTGCGCTGCAACATCCTCCGCCCCTAAAGACGGAAGAACAGGTGCGAGTTTTACGGTCGGTCGTATCAGCTCGCTCGTAACAGTTTTGATATCGGCGGATCGGGCGCATCCGTCTTTGCCGTAGTGTAGTTTAGCAATACGGGCGAGTGGGTAATGCCCACGTGGGCTGTCGGGTTCGACTACCCAAACCAAGTCGCCGGTTTTCAGTGTGACATCCGAATCATTATGCCACTTTGCTCTCTTGTTGAGAGATGGTACATATTCACGCAGCCAGCGTGACCAAACTGCGTTAGCGTACGATTGTGCTCTGGCGTAACGCTTTTTATAATCAAAGTTATCTTCGAAACTTAACGACGGGAAGCTAGCTGCGCTGTGACCGCGAATGAAGTGATTCGGGGTGAGTGCCTCTAGGTCGTGCGGATCGGAACTGACCGGAGTGATCGGTCTTGCGTTAAGTAATTGTTCAACTAGGCAGAGCGTTGTTCCTAGAACTTCCTCAGTTAATCTCCTGTTGCCTAATATGTCGTACAACACTCGCTTAACACTTCTCACTAGCCGCTCCCAGGCGCCACCGTGATGAGGGGCACTGGGCGGGTTAAACTTCCACTTAATGCCTTTGTGGACGAAAACGGCCGGGGCGACTTTGTTCCAATTTTGGACACAGGATAGGAGCTCCTTTTGAGCACCAACAAAAGTCGTGCCATTGTCAGAAAGAATGGTTTTGGGGGTACCTCGCCTTGCAATAAATCGCTCTACGCCCATGACGCAGGAACTAGTATCGAGAGATGGAACCAACTCGATGTGAACTGCTCGAGTCGTGAGGCAGGTAAATAGGAAACCCCATCTCTTTTCGGTACTTCGGCGTATTGGCACTTGAAACGGGCCAAAGTAATCAACACCTGTGTTGGAGAAGGGAGGCTGCTTGTAACCCAGTCTTTCAATCGGTAGGTCAGACATAATGAGCACAACTGTTTTTGCTTTGCGCTTACGGCATGTTATGCAAGTATTTTCGATGTTCCCAAGTAACCAGCGCAACTTCAGAACAATGTATTTCAACTGAACTACAGCACGCATGTAATCCAACCCCTGATGTGCATGTTGAAAGTGCATATGCCAAATCAACATATGAGCAACTCGGTGTCGACCATCCAGTATTATTGGATGTTTGCTATCAAAGTCGGTATCAACAAGACGGCTGATACGTCCAGTTGAACGCAGGATGCCAGCTGGGCCGATGAACGGAGAATATTTAGCAATCCGACTTTTCTTTGTTATCAGTTTATCGGACTGAAGTATTTTCACTTCGGCAGGAAATGATTCGGACTGAGCGAGATAAATGAGCTTCTGCTCGGCAATATCTAACTCGGACGGGTCGGTTATTTCAAGCGTTTTTGTACGGAAGTGTTTATGCGATGGTAGCACACGAAGCATAAACGCTAAAACACGTTTGTACTTTACAATTGAGCTCAATTTATCCCAATTTTTAAACAGACGGATCGAAGGCGCTTTCTCAGATGAAGCATCATCAACAAACGTAGATGCAGTCTCAAGGCATGTATCAATGTCACAGAGTGGGCCTTTTAATTGGATCTTTTTGATGATATCAGTGTTCGGCTTGAATGGCCAATCACATGTCCTCAATATACTAGGGCCTCTAACCCAGCTGCTATCCTTGAGGGCTTCCGAAGAAATCCCTCGTGTGCCGGTATCAGCTGGGTTATCACCACTGAGTACATGATTCCATTGATCAATGGTGGTGGACTCCAAGATTTCACCAGTGCGGTTTCCAACAAACACAGGAAGTTTGTTGCACGAGTTAAGCCACTGGAGAACGAAGGTAGAATCAGTCCACATGAATACATTGCTTACTTTGAAAGTAAGCGCTTTCAAAATCTCTTCTTTGAGTCGAGTCGCAAGCAGAGCAGCCTGAAGCTCTAACTTGGGTATGGAGAGCATCTTCATAGGCGCTACACGGGCTTTCCCAAATACAAAAGCTAACTCGGTCTTTTGCGATTTAGCAAGTCGGGCTCGGAGAAACGATACGGAGCAAAAAACGTCCTGCGAACTATCACCGAACGTGTGAAGTTCACAGCGGTCGAACGGTTCGGTAAAGTAGCTACAAGGTATCGTCAGAGTACCTAATAGTGGAAGTCCTGAGTGCCAATCTAGAAATTGTTGTTTAATTTCCTCTGGGAGATCATCATCCCACTTTTGACCACTGATTCTCCATATGTCTTTTAGTAAAAGGCGCGCTTTCACAGTATATGGAGCTACCAGTACTATTGGATCAAAAACTGAGGAAACAAAACTCAACACGGTGCGTTGAGTAATTGCTTTATCTAGTGGTCGATCAACACCTCTACTTACTACTAGGGTATCTTTTACATGATCCCACCTGAGACCAAGAACATGCGACGATTGGTCTGGACTCTTACAAATATCCTTAACTGACGGGTTGGACTCACGGTTGTCCGGATTAAGAGCGGTTGTAACTTCGGGTACATTGCTAACAAACTTTGTCAGGTTAAACCCACCTAATTTGAGCATTGCGACTAAGTCTCTAAGAGCGTCAGCGGTATTTTCGAACGAGTCAAGATAGTCGTCCATGTAAAACTTCTGGACAACGGCTGAAGCGGCTTCGGGGTATTCAGCTTGATTATCAGAAGCAGTTTTTTGTAGCGCGAAATTCGCACAAGTTGGCGAATCACGAGCGCCAAAAATATGACGGGTGTATTGGTGAACCATCACACTTGAAGTGGGGTCCTCCCGCCACAAAAAACGGAGAGACGGTTGATCTCGCGCAAGTACTCCAACTTGTAAGAACATACCTTCTATGTCCGCTGAGACGGCGTACTTGTGTTGACGGAACCTCAACAGTTCAAAAATAAGGTTTTGAAGGAGATCCGGGCCAACCAAGAGAGATCTATTTAAGGAAGTGCCATGAAATTTGGATGCTCCATTGAGCACACGGCGCACCTTGCCGGGTTTGTTCGGGTTCAAAACCGGATGGTGTGGAAGATACCACTCACGTTCGGCTCGTGAGCTGGGATCGTGCGGGTTGACGGTTATGACATATCCTTTACTTATATCTTCTCTGATTGTTTCGGTATACTTCTCGCGAAGTAACGGATCTTTATCTAAT